AGACAGCAGAAATTACCAGTGAGAAGTCTTTATCATCAGCTGATATATACATGTGATTTTTCAATATGTTGCTACCATTCACTATCCCCAGTGGTGTCTCCCATTGCTGGTTATTACCATCAGAGGGGCATTTTAAGAATACTCTGTCCCCTTTTGATGCAAAAATGTCCCTGCTGTCACTATGGTCTGGTAGGTGCATGCTTTGGAAGCTGAGGCAATGCTTACCTTTGCTCACAAGACAGTAAAATTGATTTATATTCTTTAATACACTGTTGTCAAGCACAAGCAATGACCCCCTGTCTTTGACCTCCATGACATTCTGCAGCTCCTCCACCAGAGGCTCCAGTGAAACACTGCTATCCAGGAAAAGTGTTAACTTATAATCTGGATGCATTTCATGGTACCAGCGCACAGTGGTCCCCTCTAGATCAGTGGAAGCCTTGCACAGAAGCTCAGTCCTTCTATCTTCTTCCTTCACAACGATCTCCTTAGATTCAACCTCCTCACTGCACACAGAGAGCTGCTGTGTGTGCTGAGTGATTAGTGTCTGGTTTTTCCAGCATTCCCTCCGATAAATCCCAGAGTCCATGTGTGTGAGGTTACTGATTTGAAGCCCGAGCAGGTGCTGATTTTCACTGACACCGATGCGACCCTCCAGGTCTTCAGGAGGTGTGATGGTTGATGAGGAGTTTCCCAGCAGCTGGTCTCCCTCCGGAGAAGATCTATAAACAACAATATAATCCTCTCCGAAACAATAGCCCATCTCAACAATGTTGCCCTGTGCTCTGAACACAGGCTCTGGCTCCTCACTGTACACACAGTGGAGGAAGAGGAAAAGCAGAAAATCAAAACACCAAACGGAGGTCATGTTGCCTGGTTATCCTGGGGCATGTGTTTATTACATTCTGAGAACTGTGCTTATATTAAGCTAGTTTTAATTTACCCACTTAAGTTCCGCCTCCTAGTATCAAATTCCTCCTCTTCCGGATTCTCAGCCCTAGAGTGACTAATGCATGTTGCAACACACAGATGCAAGTTAGTATATGAGTGACAGGAATGACTGGAAAGTCGACATCATTCATTTAGTTTTGACAATTCTAAGACAACCAAGCTAAGCAAAAGTGAAGCAGCAACATAAAAAACATATATTATGCTCCTGGTTGTACATTAAGAGAGCTGAGGTTGGACAGGTTTTGACTCAGCTGTGGGTGTGGTCAGTCCCATGCTTGGTAGCTTGACAAGAGTGAAAGAGAACATTTATGAGCTGGCATGTTTTTGTGAAAATTCCATACAAGCATGACTGCAGAGTTGCAAATACAGTTTATGTTTTTGTACCACAGTGTTGTTTTTTAGTGGGCTTGCTAATCTTATCAAACTCAAGAAGTATCAGGTGGTTTGTTTGTGTTTCGTCGTATCTATCACCATAGTATTTCTTTTGTCACTTATGGCAACATGAAACGTTTATTCACTTGTGTGCTTTATCAGCTATATCACTTTCATACAAGCCAAGAGTTGAGCAACATAATATGCAACATAAAAGCTTTTAAAATCAAAATGTGTCCTGTTTTTTTACAGTACCCTCAAGACAAACAAACTGTAGGAAAAGAAGTATTTCTGCTCATCGGGGCGCCTATTAAGGACCTCATAATGTTGGACTTTGCATTGTTTTTAAAAAATGTGTTTCCTATTATTCATTTAATGTTAAAATTTTATACATAATGGTTATTATTCATTGTTAATGTGTAGTCGGTTTTGCACTAGGAAGGAGGGGTACAATGTTAATATTAAACTGAACTTTAAACTGTAGGTCTGTGTGAGTTATTGATATCTTTTACTTGGCAGATCTTCTGCCCTGTAAGTTAATATGTCACTGCAACAAAAAAGGCAACACTGATCTACTATAAAACTAGCCCACAAGGCACATCTATTATGTTCAGTGTCATATTACTCAACTTCTTCACCCTATGAATCTTGAGCTCTAACTGTACCAAAACATCTCTGACTCGTGTTGCATTCAGTGTTATATAACTGTTTCTAAATAGCAAAACAAAGAAATCACAATAGGACGCAAGGTTAAACCTGCGCCATACAATGTATAGCAGGGTGATGAGGCAGGGACAGTGATTGTTAGCTGAAATATGAAACACCGACAGGCTGTCTCCTTGTGTTTGTCTTCAAATCTCTTTTATCAAGAACTATAGCGTTGTTGTGCTCCCTCTCTTTCAGTTGCTTTTCAAGGTTGGAAATGCCTTGGGATTGCACTGGTATTTTGGTGACAAAGAACACGTCCTGGGAAAACCCTGTACTTTAGTCACCTGTGCAGGAGGTGGTGCCTTTGGTACTAGGAGGGGAAATTACACCATTTTTTAGGTGACGAGATGACGAGTAAGGTAAAGGTCATTTAAATTAGTGGACAATGGGAAAACACTGCGAGGTCCTTACATGAGGGAGAGATGGTGAAATAATGCAGTCACCACTTCCACCACCATCCTAGTGAGGTAAGAGGACAATAGAAACAAATCTCAGAACATTATCAAAACAAAATTGGTTCTCAGCTCATGGATGATTTGCTGAATGGGCCTACTGGGTACATGCCCAGGGGTCGGGAAGGTAAGGGGTGCTCTGGGCCAGAACCTCATTAGGAAGTGAATGTTGGTATGGGTTAAGGTTTAGTCCCCCTCCCCAGGAGGGGGAGGGGCAACTAAGGTTGGACTCAAGAGTGCTGACCCAGGTGCTAGTAAAAACAGGTGGTTTAATGGTGGGGATTACAAAATGAACAGAGTCACTGCAGACATACAACCAGGGCTGGGAAAAGACACCTGAGGAGACCAGGACGACCAGGGGAATAGACAGGTTAATGACAGAAACCAGGAGAGTGGGAGGAACAGGATGGACAGGTGAAAAAAAAAGCTAACCAGGAGGGATGGCGAACGAAAAAGAAATCCACAGCACAGGAACTGTCAGCGTGGAAAACAAAATGACGTACAATACATACCATGAAATAAATGGCTGTTACGGGGTATGCAAGTTATGTTAGTTAATGCTCCGGCGATGATGGAGCATCTGCCAGAGGTATAAATAAGGAAGAAGGTAATCATTGGGATGCACCCCAGCTGTGTGCACCGACAAACGAGTTGCTAATTACTGAAAGCAACACAACTGAGGTGCAGATCCCGCAGGATCGAGAGAGCAGAGGAGAGAAAGGCCGAAGAGAGGCAGATCGCGCCGAGCGGACCTGACAGTATGTTTTTTGTCTGAAAGTCATATAACTCAGCTGAAAGACACAAAATGGTCAAAAACTGATGCAAAACAATCCCAAAGCGAGACAAAATAACCATAAAGTTACAGGGAGAAAATGAACACAAAGGGACTAAATGAGTACAAAGAGACACAATATGACCACAAAGAGGTTTTGTGTTGTAGATCTTTTGTGTCTTTCAGCCTGGGGATTTTATATAGGTGGGGCGGAATGCCTTTTACCTTTCTGTGCCCAAGGCCTAAGAATCCATGTTTCATTAATCTGTCCATGCCTTAACTCCACAAAGCAGCACCAAGTGTGTGAGCATCTGCAAATGGTCTGCATTACATTTTTCCTTTGCTGCCTAAAGGCATTTTGCAAAGACTTCTCCTTCCCTCTTCCAGTTCATTGCCTTTGTTTATGTCTTTGAGGCAACATCTCATCCTAAGCTCTCCATTTTATCTCCTGTTGTTGCCATTGTTTCTCAAAGTTTTGGTAACTGTCACATCTTTAATTTTTGTGCAAACCCCACAATGTTGACTGTGTAGACACCACAAAGTCACAGTGTGTTACATTATGTAAATATGAGACAATATATTTCAAGTCTAGGAAAGCTGTACATCCTACACCAGCTACACATTCATTAAAAGGACTTAACAGTAAATCATGGACTCTCTTGTTCCACTATGGAGTGGATATATTATTTTGGACCACAGTCCTGAACAGGTGGAGGATTCTTCATATTGTCAGTTCCATTTGCACTTTCCACCCTTTGGTTCAGTCTTTTGTCTGTGCTAGTTTCTCGGTGATTTTGACCTCATTTGGTCCTTTTTTTCTTTCTACAAATCTCTGCCTTTAAGTTCCCCATTCCTGCAGAGAGAAAAGCAGAAAATAAGCAGCAAGTAATGGCACATACTGTTTAAACCCTTGATAAAAGGAGCAACTGTTAACAGGCTGACTGCAAATAGAAGATGAGTGAGTCATGAGTGAAAGACACTGTTTACTCTGCAGGCCCACATGTTGTTTTATACCTGTGCTTCCTCGAAATAGAAAGTTGTTTCCCATGTAACACATGCAACCCAGTGAAAAAGCAAACCTATGTCTTGCTTTTCTGTATTTGTGCTTGGTCATGATCTTTGTGAGGTATAAAGTGTAAAGAGACTGTCAGTGCACTCTAATGACCAGCTCACTACCATGAACATATTGGGTATTAAAAAAAGATAGAAGCACCAACCTGTTTCCCTTTGAGGCATATCATCTGTTTACTAGTACATAAACTATAATGAACCCAGCTACCGACTCAGCAGTAGCAGCTCCCGTGCTGCTGAAGGAACAGCTTGCAGAGTTGGTGATCAAGCATCATGATTAAGCACCGACTGCGAGAAAACTCTCCATGTGTTCAGTCCAATTCAGCCCTGCCCTGATTACACTCATCAGGGCCCGTATGCTGCAGGGTGTGGAGGCAAACCAACTGCTGTTTGAGATACACATTTATGCCAAAAGTATTTAATTACTGGACATATGGGCTGCAGTAAAGGAGCAGAGCCCTGGAAATAGGGTAGAAATTGGGGCGATGGAAGCATAAAATCAAAGAAGCCACACACTTTTACATCATTGTTTCCACATTCTGCATGTAAAAGTTTTTTTTTTATCTAAGATATCAAGGAGATTTGAGGGACACATTTAAGTTAGAGGGTCTTTGTTGCGCTGTGTTGCAGTACTACAGTACCGCCTCGGCTAGTCGCTATGGTAAACAAGGCAACACAAATAAACAGTAGAAGAAGAAATCACTTTCACAACAAAACGTCACATCCTCTGACAGCTGCTACAGGTAATTTATTTTGATTGTCAGTGTGTACGTGGTAAAATCTGCACATCGATATATACCAGAATCCAACAATAAGTGGTAGTTATTATGTCACATCCCGGAGTTAAATTACACGATGTCCTGCGATGGAAGTGGTTTAGCGTGACTGCTTATGCCTATTTTAGCGGTTAGCTGGTATGCTAAACGCTTAGCATGTTTCTTCAATAAAATCCTGAGGTAGCTAAATATAAGAAGAATTTTATTTTGAAATCGTTGTCTTAAACGTGTAGCGTGAACAACTTCTGGGAAATTATACAATTTGCTTACTCTGATCACTAAAGTGCCTTAAGTTATAACGAGATACTTTATACTTTGAAATCTATTCATAACTGATATTGGATCACTGATGGTGATGATACATCGACGAGTTGGCTCATGCTTCTACACTTTCCCCTGTGAAAACGCTGGCACCAGCTGTGGAAAAGAACCATTATCTGCTGTTGTGAAATCATGGCTGTGATGAATGACAGTACTCAGCATAGCAAATTCAACACCTGAGTACCCCCTGTGTCAGACCTGGGACATTACATAATGCTGTAAAGAGATTTAATCAGTTCTGGTGGAAAGTGCATAATAAATTACTGTCAGTAACATATGATATCCTGTTGATTCTTTTTTAAACACTCAAGAGCATATTTAGTACTGCATGATATCTATGTGGATAATAGGACAGACTGTGTAATGATGAGAGATCTGAGCATCACCATAGTCTCTGCAGTTGTTTGATAGATGTTAGAAATGTCTATCACTGCAAGTGTCCCCTCAACTGTAGTTGTCACCTGTTGCAGTTTGTTCTCCTCTTCTTCCCTTAGGTAGTCAGCTGTAGAACTTTGCTGCAATGTTGCGCCACATTGCTACATCCCTGTGCCTCCGGTGCCAGTGTGTTACAGCTTTACCTTTAAACCTCAGGCCATGTGCAACGCTGAACTCAGTAGAGAACCAGCAGACTGTGCAGGCTCTTTGTGATCTCTCTGTGGACATTCAAAAGGTACGGAAACTTAAGGGCTGGGTCCTGCATCAGAGTTCAGCCTATACTAAGGAGGTAGCTGAACTGCTGAAAGACATGGGGGCCTCAGGGTCCGTAATCGCTAGGATCTTAGCAGCTCATCCCGAGGCCGTCCTCTGTCGCCCGGAGCAGATGCAGGCTCAGAGGGAGCTGTGGATGTCTGTGTGTGCAAACCAGAAGGAGTTAGTTGCTATCATTGAGAAATTCCCAGCCTCCTTCTTCACCCCTTTCATCCACCATGACAATCAACGGAACAACATCACTTATTTTCAGAGCTTAAACCTCAACAAGCGAATCATCTCCAAACTAATGGCCAGTGCTCCCCAGAGCTTCAGCCGGCCAGTAGAGCAGAACCAGGTGATGGTGTGCACCCTCCAGCAAGCCTACCAGGAGCTTGGGGGAGATGAGGTCAATATGAAGGTCTGGCTTCTGAAACTGCTGAGCCAGAACCCATTTGTTCTTCTCAAGCCCCCCAAGGTGCTGAGACAAAATCTGCTGTTCCTGAAAGATAAAGGCTTCAGCACAGCAGAGCTCCTCCTCCTCCTCTCCAAGCTCAGGGGCTTTGTCATTGAGCTGAACCCACACAGCATGTGTCGCACCCTGGCATACTCCCAGGACACCATGGGCTGCTCTGAGGGTGAGCTGCGAGACATCATCCTTAACTGTCCAGCTCTGCTTTACTACCCTGAAACTCTTCTGGCTGAACGCTTCAGGGGCCTTCTCAGCACTGGGATCAGTATGACTCAAATCAAAGAAACTCCAACTGTTTTGGATTTGACCACACAGATAGTGAATTACCGTATCCAGCAACTGCAGGCCTACGGGTATGACATCAGGACAGGTAGTCTGGAGGTCCTAAATGGCACTAAAAAGGACTTTGAGATGAGCTATAGAAAACTACAGCTACGCAGAGAGAGACCGCTTTTTAATCCTGTTGCCCCTTTAAAAGGAGATGACTGAAAGAGGTTTCATGGACTAATGCAAGTGCATTAAAGCTGTAAGTGGATGCATACTATTGCTGTTATTATTTATATTGATACTGTGTATGTATCAGATTAAAGCTGATTGATGTGTTTATTCCTGCAGTTTGATTGGTCAGATTACAATGATGCCATTTGAACTAGACAGTGAAGATGCATGAGAGTGCAAACTGAACCAACTGGATGTAAAGGCAGACCTAAATTCTGTTTTTCATGTGCTCAAAACTGATTTTTGGTGTCACTCTTAGGCAAAGCTAGTGACAAGCATTGTTTTAACTGTCTTCCTGCTGCCAAATTCTCCAGCCTTGTGGGATATAAAGTGACCAAAATCCAACAAACGTCTTGTGAGTGACTGATTTTCCTCTAATTAGTCTGAATCTCAATACTAAGTGCAGAAATGTATGAAAGTAAATCTTTCACTTGTAGTTCAGACCAAAGAAAACTGTGATCACACCCTGAGGTTTGAGATTCATCAGTGAGTGAGTGATGGTGTTACACATGAAAAGCAGGGCAGTTTTGTTGCAAGTGTAAATTCATGTTGGGAAAAATAAAGAGGCCTATATAAAGACTTACCAGAGTGACATCAGTAAGTGAGACAAATCTTAATATGTTCCACTTTTTAGAGGGGATATAGCCCCTTGTAAATAAAGAACTGATTACAGCTTATTTATAAAGTTAACTTATCACAATAATGTCACATGAAACACAGCACAAGTGTCCAACAACAGAAGTGCTGAATTGTCTTATCAGATGAATAACTAAGAACAAACAAGGCTTTTAAAATCATTTTATTTACAGTCTGTGCAATAATCTCATTTTTCACACGATGTTCTTGGCAGCACCACTGTTCCCCTCGGGGAGGAAATCTGTGATTTTTATTGTTACTTTACAGATGGAGGCACTTTATTATAAAATATTTCACTTCTGAAATGTCACTTCATTATCATTTCAGATGAATTCTAATGCACCCACACAATGATTTTTTTTAAAGGAAGGATAATGAAGCTTGCTTAATGTATTTGTGGTTTGTTTAAACAGACTGCAATGTTTATTCAAAAAGCTGTTGAGTTTCAGTTCTTTTATGCAGAATTGATTTTCAATTAGGATTGACTCTATTAATAAGCTTTCATACCTGTGTGCATCATTTAGAGGTAAAATGGTCGCTGTGTTAGTGCTCGCATTTATTTCAGTGTAAGCCACAAAATCATATACTGTCATACTGAGTATTATCTAAACAAAGAGAGGTCACTGGAGGTCACTTATTGTGTTTTGAATGTGTCTTAATGTTTGGAAGCCAGCAAATATGTCTACGAGTGGCTTTTAATGGGAGTGAGCATCTCAGCTAATGAAGTTGTTCCTCTATGTCTCGAGTTCCCTGACTCTTCTAATGTGTACGATGGGGGGTCATGACAAAGAGAGAGAGGACTTGTTTGTCCGGAGGGAGCGAGAGGAGTTATATACATTAACAACTTCCACTTCCCATCTGCTGCCGTCTGCATCGCTCAGCATGGTCCTGTGGCTATGGCGATAGCCAGTGGGAAGATGATGCGACTGTGAGTGCAGCTGGTAATGAATTTAAGCTCAGCAGATGGATACTTGACTAGAGCTCATTTTCCATTCACAACATGGAACCCCTGAGGTGCTACAACAATACCTCAAGTACACTGCAGCTGATGCACTGAATGTTACTCATTTTACACAGACACCAGTGACATTTTCCTTAAGTCGTCATGTTGCAGGTCTGTGCCGTTCACTGGTTAATTGGAAAGAATAAAAGAGTTAATCAGTTGTATCAGGACCAGGCAGATGAGAAGAGGCCCCAGGTGTATTAATGCAAGTCACTCCTATTTCTCACAAGGCGTCCTTTTGTCCTCTGCTGACCGCTGTGTTGCCTCAGTCCCATGCTGTGCTGTTGAATTACACATATGAGACAGAGAGGGTAATAAGAACGAGCATAAATTGTACCTCTTCATTTCAAACATGACACTGGTTGATATAAGTCAGGCTTAGCATATTGCCTTTATGGGACATATTTCACCAGAAACAGATGACATCTGCATTTAAAAGCTATGTTTTCCAGCGTGAAGTTAGAAAATGGATGGATGTCAGTGTATGTTAAGCTCAGGTTTAAAAGTTTATTCTTCAAAAGTAGCTGATATACTGAAGGTGAAAAATAAACCCTTTTGAAGTTTAAATATTCCCTTTTGACTCAAAGAATTAAATAACTCTTCCTATAACTCATGTTTACCACAAGCGAAAGCCTACAATTACAATACATTTTTTTCAAAATTCTTGTATTGTTTGAGTCTGTCAGCCATTAGAAACACCTTAGAAACACCTTTAACCCCACTGTGAGTTGCTTTGGAGAGTCTTACCTCATTTATACACTTCATTTAAATGTGGACTCAGCTCACGTCTTCCATCTTTCAACCAATATACAAAATTTGTTTTCTGTCATTACATATCTCTCAAACCTACCTGCACCTGGTGACACAATAAATCAAACTGTACATGCTGCAGGTGGAAAATGAATGTCACATTCATGGACGTTGAATGCTCATAAGGTAAATAACTTTATATACTGAGCAGCATATCTGAGATCCAGTACTTTGAAACATCTGCCACTATGTGTAATTTCACCAGCTGAGGATTGTGGTCTGTCGGGATCCTGTCACTGACTGTGTCACTCCATCTTCAGAATCATTCATCGTGACATGATTTTAAAATGTGATTGACCCTTTAAAGCAGCGGTTGTCAATATGTGTCCTTAAGGCTCATAATACTATTCTGAATGAATGGACCTTTTTCACTAAAGACATTTTGAAGTTACTGCATGAAAAGCACAGATGTAGATAATAAAGTTAATGATGGCTGAAATCTATTTAGCTGCTTCAGTTTTGGGGTCTCTGGATTGAGCATGATGCTTCATTCTCAGAGGAAAATTTAACTGCTCAAAGTTTGTTCTTCTACAGCTCAGGAGACAAATTTGTGATTTTTATTTCATCCTCATTTTAGTTTTTATTCTGATATGTTTCTCCTAAAATTCAGTATGATAATTAGCTGAGACAGGACAATAAACAACAGGAGTCATTCCTGTGAGGTAAGGGAGATACCTCGCTAAACTCAAATCAGTGTTAATAAGGCTCCCTTTCCTCTGTAGAAGAAAATTAGCAATACTAAACCAACCATGGAGCAATATGTGTCTATGCATATATATATAGATTCATATTTATACTATATATTATGGTTAAAAGGGCAGGACAGTTTTGCAGTGATTAGCACTGTCGCTTGGACTGATCCAGGGCTTTTCTGTGTGGAGTTTGCATGTTCTCCCTGTGCCTGCATGGGTTCTCTCAGGGTACTCCTGCTTCTTCCCAAAGACATGCAGCTTAGGGTGACTGTCTAAATTGCCCCTAGGAGTGAGTGTGAGTTTATGTGGTTGTTTGTCTACATATCAGCCCTGTGATAGACTGTTGACCTGTCCAGGGTGTACAACCGTCTCTTGCCCAATGTCAACTGTCCAGGCCCCCCATGACCCTATTTAGGAGTAAGCAGTATAGATAATGAATGGATGGATTATGGTTAACAGTAGGACAACTTACTGTAATAACACAAGAGGGCAGGGCATGAATTGTAACAGTGTTTACAGGGTCCATCCATCCATCCATCCATTTTCCTCCGCTTATCCTGAACCGGGTCGCGGAGGCAGCAGTCTAAGCAAAGATGCCCAGACTTCCCTCTCTCCAGACACTTCCTCCAGCTCCTCCGGGGGAATGCCAAGGCGTTCTCAGGCCAGCTGAGAGACATAGTCCCTCCAGCGTGTCCTGAACCACAATTTTGCTGAGATTGCTGAGATAATAAAAAAAAAAGAAAAAAAACCCATTAATTTAATTCTGGGTGAGAATTCAGTGAGTGTTTCTAGAGAGCTCTTTATTTGCTCTATATGAGCTTAGCATTAGATGCATGAATTAGGCTGGGATGAGACTGTGATCATAGAAAGAACTCTGATTTCTCTGCCTGAGATCCAAAGGATGTACAAAAGTTCAGAAAATCAGAGAATTATTTTAAACATTAATGCGATTTCCTTAACTTTAAAAGAGGATAATTTGAGATTTTTGTGCATCATTTTGTTCTGGAGAAAAAAGGAGCAAACACTATAGTTTCATTTTGGTTTCACACAAACCCCATTGTTGCCTAGGAAAAATAAGTGACATTTTCTAATTTTATTTTCCTCTAAGCTGTGATGTTAAAATCCATCGCTAACATCATTAATGTTATTATATCACACCAGTGTTTTTTTTCTGCTATGAAAAGTCATAGTATCTGCTGTGAGAAAGGCTTCAATGTGTAGGTCTGTGTTCCTTATTGTATCGGACATTTCCGCTAGAATACAATGCTCCTTTTATGTTTGGGTATATTGTGAGAAGAGGAATTTCTGTCTAGGTTTTAAAAACACAAACATACTGTATGTGTAACACTACAGCCACACTGTCCCTGCACACTCACACAAATGTTTCCCCCTTAGCCTAGCTGATCAGACCTCTTCCCAAGTTATGAATGAGTGGAGCTATGCTGGGAATCACCATAGTCCATGTAAAAATAAGGCTGCCAGTGCTGTGCGGTGGATTCTTATGTAGTGGGAAGAATAGGGAACCCCACTGAAAAGGAGTAGACAGCACGTGAGGCAGCAGACATGATTTGAAATGACTGCTGATAATCAAACAGCATCTGAAAAGCAACACGGTGCCACGCCCTTTCCATGTGTTTGGATTTTAGTAGTAAAAGTTTCCAATCTGGTTCTTAGAGGAAGCAAAGTGGCGTCTAATCTGGGGGAAAAGAAGGAGGTGACCAGAAACTCCCAGAAAAATGTCAAGTTCACATGAGACTTGAATCAGATGAAAGTGACATTTACTGAAACACGGGGGATTTAATTTCAACCATTAACCTTCAGGAGGCTTGTTGACTTCTTTCCCCCAAGATCCATCCATAGACAGCCTAGACACTAAAACATTTTTACTGACTCTTATCACACCAGTGAGGCCAAATAGTTTTGTTTTATTGTTATGATGTTTAGTTAAGTATACATTAAAAAACAACAAGATGATTTTACGAGGTTTAAAAGTATAATTATTTATTGAGTTTGGAATGTTCATGTTTGTTTTTCTTGTGTGTGTGTCGAGGTTTCCTGTTACATTTCTGTTTTAATGGCAAAAATTTAAATCAAATATATTTATTATAAACCCTCAATATTACATAGATCTGAGAAAGTAATCAAAATGAAACGAAATGTCATCAGTTTGCACAAAATGCAAACTGGTGGTAAAATCTGGGATTTGTTGATACAGTAACACTGGACAACAAAGATTTTGCTTCTTAACACTTCTGGCTGTATCTTACTGACTGCTTGGTACTGCTTACTAACTGCCTGTCATAAAAATCACCTTTAAATTTACCAATCACCCTTTTATTGAAATCTATTATATTTGCAATTCATCTCATATTTTGTCTATTTACTTCACATTATATGATGAATTGCAGCATGTCACTGAAGATTCTCTTTTTG